AAAAAAACTCTGCACATCAAATTTCACAATTTAACATCATTCGGGATCATGGGACCATCAAACCGTTCAAGACAAAGGCCTTGGTATTCACTTACTTCGGGTATTGCATCGGCACCATCACGTTCGAATCTCGTCCTATGACGAGCATAACCCGCAAACAATTCGTCAGCACCACTGCCGACAAAATAGACTCGAGCTTGCGATCTAGGAAAATTTTTCACAGCTCTAGAAAGGCCAGACTGTAAGCAGAGACATACTGTACTTTCTCCCCGTTGTCGTAATCCATACCTGCACCTCTGATAGCATAGTACAAAACACAAGCTAAGGATTCATCCAAAACAGAAAGTGCTGGTGCAGCTGCCTTGACTTATATGATTAATAACTGTGCGGAACTTCCCAAAAATTTAGTTGCACACCCTAACAACGTATTCAGCGCGATCCTTTTCCATTTCTTCCATAGACACATCAGCTTGAATCAAGCGCCATTGTCTGCTGGGATACTTCGAACGCAAAAATGTCAATCCAGCAATGGCGCGTACTCGATCCGTGACGATAGTTTTATGCTGAACAAATCCATCTCTTCAACTATCTGCACCTTGCAGAAAGGGAATTTACAAGATCTCACCTCAGAGCCCCGGACGAACGCAACATTGATGAGATCAAGGTTTTGGTAAGATGAACATGCTAGATGCACAGCAATTGCCACTAGTAAACTGTCCACTCCACCAGAAAAGGCAATTGCAACATTTTCGTCTGAGAAATGACTCAGGTGATACTTTGAGAAAAGAAGTTAAGTTCATATGTTTGGAGAATTACTTCAAGTAAGACAGAATAGCCTACAGATGTATACTATGACAAATCAAATGCTTGCCAACTGCTAAACTTCTCCTGCCGATTTTGCTCGAGCACAAGTACAGACTGGTTGGAATTCTCGCGTTTTTCATTACCCGGAAAAAGAAGACATAAACAGCAATTTCATTCCCCAAAACGCGTGGGGTATGGGCTGAGATAGAAGCATTATAAAGATTTCCTTAGAATTTCGCGTTATAATTTTCCGCCTATCTACCTTGTATGATAGTTGGTCAGAGCTACCGTAATCCACACCAACTGACAGCTTCCGATCGATATATCGATTTTCTCAGCTGCATTCCAACATTTCGTAATGGTATCGACTTTTTGAGCTGCGTTTCTACATTTTGTAACGATTCCATCAAGTGAAACGACAATTATTGCTTTTTTGTACAAATGTACCATTGCTACGCGTTTTGGGAAAAGGGAGGGGCGGGCGCGTATGCGAACATTTTCAGAGGGAGGGAGATAATGTTAGCCTCGCCCTCCGGAAATCTTACGCTAGTAC